TACTCTCCAGAAGCAAGGTGTGTCCCTCCTAAGAAAGAGAGAGAGAGGGGTGGGGGGGGGGGGGGGGTGCACATTCCATCCCAGACACTGGGAGATTCCCATGGGATTCTCAGTTTCGTTTGAAGACTCTTAAGCATGCTGATGGGTTCCTGTCTTTGTCAGACACTCGGCTGACCACTGTATCCTCGCCAAAACACAGAGACCTGAATTATACCCCACAACGAGCCCCACGCAATCTCCACGTTCCTTCCTGTGACTTGTGCTCACTCTCTCTTTCACACACGTCTCACACACACAAGTTTCTATTTGCTCTCGTAACCGTGTCATTAGTCACAGGCTAGTTACTTGTGTTTTTACTGTGCTTACTTACAGTGATACATAGTGTGATTTGGCAATGGACACGGGCCATTCAACCCAAGCCACAAACATTAGACACAAAGTTCATTTCTTATTGCTTCTCTTCCTTCTTGTTCTCCATTGTTACCTGAAATTCCCCTACTTTCTCTCTTTAATCCATTTTCCCCTCTCTATCCCTCTCACTCTCCTGTATTCCTCTTGCTCTCCTCTCACACTCTCTATTCCACCCCACTCTCTGCTCTACTGCTCTCAATCTCTCATTTTCCCCCCTTTCTGTCCTCTCTCCTCTATTCCCCTCTCCTCCCGCTCAACTCTCTCTATTCGCCTCCTCCTCTCCTCTCCCATTCTCTCTATTTCCCCTCTCACTTTTGCTTCTATTCCTGTCTCTCTGCTCTATTCTTCTCAATCTCTCTACTTTATCATCTCTCCCCTCACTCTCCCCTATCCCCCCTCTCTCCCCTCTATTCCTCTCATTCTCTCCTTTATTCCTCTATCCATTTTCTCTCTCATCTCCCCTCACTGTCTCCTCAGTTACCCCCCACCTCCCCTCTATTTCTCTCACTCTCATCTTTATTCCTCTCTATCCCTTTTCTCTCTCATCTCCTCTCACTCCTCTCTATACTCTCTCTCGCTCTCTCTGCCCTGTTTTACGTTGCCCCAGTAATATAATTCTCTGACCGGCTGCTGCTGATTTACATTGAAGTGGACAATGTCTACATCTAACTATTGCACAACTAGAAAGATATAATCTGGTTTTAAAGTGACCGATTGCAAACCTGCCACACTCTCTGCTCTGTCAATCCCCCCCCCGCCCCCCAAACCCCCCAAACACACACAATATTATTGCTCTCTCACACGCTTAATTTTCTTGATGATTTGAAGATTATTGATTTTTTTTCAAAAAAGGAACTTTTTTTGGGGTGGGAGGGGGGAAATTTGGGGAATCATATTGCTGTTGCATTCTTGGGGGGTGTAAGATGCTACACTCTCCCCACTGCTCAACCCCACCCCTCTCACTGCCCCATTGCCCTGCCTTCCATCTCCCACCCATCCACCTGGGCCACTCTCGTCTCATTATCTCCAGTATTGTAGCGAGCAACAACCAGGATGGTAGAAGGCGACCTATTTTGCATTTGCACCATCAACATCTCTGATATCATCTCCTCTCCTCAACCTCATTTTTTTCCTTTGTCTTTCTCTCCCCGCCCCCTTCTCTGCTTGTCCTTAGAAACTGCTCCCTTCCAACACCCTCCAGTTCTGACGCAAGGTCATTGACCTGAAACGTTAACTCACTGCCTCTCTCCATAGATCCTGCCTGACCTGCTGAGTGTTCTCAGCAACTTCTGTTTTTATTTCAGATGGACCTTGGTCCTTTTTTCATCTAGCAAGTCCTACGTTCACTTGTGCTGCCCGTTTAGTCCTGGGCTCAGGGCAGCTGTGTGCCAGGCTGAGCTGGTCCTCTCCCCCACCCCACTCCCACCACCATCTCCCCGTCATAATATGGAGACTCCCCCATTTACAAAGTGCTGAGCAACGCTGCCCGTGACCCCATAAAGTCTCTCCGTTGCTGTCCTTTCCTGGGATTCCCAAACCAGGAATCTGTGTGGAAGGGCACTGGGAGTTGTGTGTGACACAATTCCGTATTCTTGAAGGACACCTTACAGTAAACGTCACTTTTCAGCCCCAATAACCCAGCCAATCACCCAACAGCCAAGCACCCAGCAGCACGGTGAGAACCACAGGCTCGCCTGCCGGTCAGGTACCCCTCAACCCCTCTGTGCCAATCAACCAGCGCTGGCACACTGATGAGGCTTTGTTTGTCTTTCTGACTGTCTGTCTTTCTGTCCGTCTGTGCTTTGAGACGCTACTCTGTGTGAGGGGCGCTTTATAAATGCAAGTTGTTGTCTGTGTTTATCTGTGTGTCTGTTTTTTTTCTGTCTGTGCCTGTCTGCCAGTCTGTGTCTCTCTAGCTGTCTGTCTGAGTGTCTGAGAGCTTGCCTACTCCCCACACCTAAGATCATTTGTGATTGAAATTGTTCGTTCCATCACAGAGAGAGAGAGAGAGATTACCTTGTTAGGGCAAACCCATCGAAACACTTATTAATTGTCAAGCTGTTTAATAAACTAACATTTTAGTTTGGATTAAAATCAGAATCTGTGTCTTTCTCAATGGTGGGGGGTAGGTGGGATTGAGGGTTGAGGTGGGTGAGGGGGAGGGGGGTCATTTAAGTCATTAACGTCCTACCCATTTTTTGAACACAGGCAATTCTTTTCCTGAATCATTTCCTAGACATTGATCACTAATAAATACAAGCTTCATATTTCTTACATTGTTATAACACGGGGAGCAAAGGGCAAGGCAATAATATTATAGTCTTGTCTTTGATATCCCAATCTGTTAGTACAGTATACACAACCTGTCTCACTCCTTTAGATCTGCTATTCCAGCAGCGAAAGGACTGAGATTATAATTCATTTTATATTTAAGAAACTCTTTCTGTATGAAAATATTACCTCCCCTCCTGAAAAATATTATAGTGTAAAGGATGATCTTCTCCCACCCCCCCACCCCATGCCATGCGATTATTGCCAGGCGTGGCTGACACCAGCCTGTAGCATTGCCGGCTTAGGACACAGGCCGTTCCTGTCAAATTCTAGTTCTCACCTTCAAAGCCCTCCATGCTCCTTCCTACCTCGGTGACCTGCTAACCCTCTACCAAGCTCTCCACTCTCTCCGCTCAGTGGGCTCCGGCCTGCTTCACGTCCCCCGCCCGGCCCACCAGCGTCGCTTCAACATTTCCGCCCTCACCCTCTGGAACTCCATCGAGGAATCCCTTTGCCTCGCGCCCTCCCTTGCATCCCTCAAGGATCGTCTCAAGACCCTTCTCTTAACTACGACTTTGGTCACCCTCCTACCCCTATCCTCCCCGCCCTCTACCCCTCTTGATCCCAAACCCCTGCTCAGATACTGACTGTCCAGAGCCTTGGGATGTCCAGATCCAGGACCAGGATTGGGAGGAAACAGGATCAGGTGTAGGGGCAAACATTGGATCACATGTGAAGGATCTACGTGTGGTTTAGCTGAAATCTTCCGTGGTCTCACAGTGAGAGGCTTGTGTCCCTGGGCTGTCACTGTAACCAGCCCAGCGACTGTGCTAACACTGTCTGGCTCTCCATTCCCAGGCTACTAGGCATGACCGAGAAAGGGGGCAAAAATCCAAGCCACAGCTCAGCTCTCAGAGGGTTAAACCCATCCTGACTCTACCAGGTTCGCCCAAACTACTGCCTCTCCCTCAGTGGTTAAAACAAGGAATTAAATTAGCTAAGCAAAGGTTCCCTCAGCTGTCCCTTCGTCTTGCTCCCTCCTTTACCTCCTTCGAGGCACGTCTCAAGACCCTCCTCTTCGAGCGCGCCTTCAACAACCCTCCTAACCCTAGCCTCCCTGCCCTCCACTCCACTCGAGTTCCCAACCCCCAGCTCGTGTCCAAATCCTTGACCGTCCAGCACCTTGGGACGTCCTCCCGATGTGAAAGGCGCCGTGTAAATATCATTTGTTGTTGTTCCCCTTCTTGTATCCCTCAGTGCATACTAGGCTGGTTAGGCTTGTTAGGCCCAATGCCCTTACTCTCAACCCACCACCCCCACCACCTCCATGACCACACACACACACCCGGTCTCACCTCTTCTGTCACACCCCCACTCTGGCCTGTGTTTGTCTTTGAAGCCCCGCACCTCACGTCCCAAGTATCAATGTCCCCTTTAAAGGCTATCAGTAAGTCGGACAGATCCGTGGTCAGCCTGTTACAGAAGGAAACACTGTGAAGAATATCGGGTCAAAGCGTCAGTGTTAGGTTTATGTATAAAGATCCCCGTTCCCCCACCCAAACCCTCAGACTCTTCCATTCTCCAAATCCCCATCGCTCTCTCTCTCTCGCTCACCACCTTGTCCTGGCCTCTCCTGTTGGCTTGGAACCTAAGACACAGAAAGCCATCAATGTCCAGAGGCACCAACGCAAGTTAAGGCCAATGCAAATCTCCTGCCCCCATCCCTCCCTCCCTCCCTGACTCCCCTCTACACCCTCTGGTGTTGTGTCCCTCGCGCTCTGGAACTCAGCATCTTGGGACGTCCTCCCGCTACACAAATGTCCTTTCCTGTTGTTGTTGTGATTGTTGTTGGAATCCACGCTCTCCAGCACAGCAGAAAACCTGAGGGAAACCCAGGAGCGATCGGAGGTCATCTGATGGTGAATGGGAAACGCGGGAAGAACAAAACAAGTTTGATTTCTCTTCAGGGCTGATGTGGTCGCACTCAGGGTGGGTCCCCTCTCTCTCTCTCTCTCTCTCTCACGGTCTCACATACACGACTTGGAATCTGACACGTCTTTGTTTAAAGATGACCCCCCCCCACATCCCCATTTCCCCCCACCATTATGTGTGTGTGTGTGCGTTTGTATGTCTAACCCTACAGAAGGCAGAGGATCTGCCCACAAACCACAGTCACTACATGTTGTGCTGGGAATCTTCGGAGGTGCTTGGAGACGTCCCGCTGCCATGAAAGGCTCCTTATCAAATGCAAGGCTTATCATCCCTTCCCCTTCCCACCCCCCCACCCCCGCTCCCACCCCCAGCCCCACTGTCCCGCCCAGCCATCGTTCCTTCCCTGTGGAGTTGGGAGTTCTCTTGAAATTTGTGTTAAAACATGCGTCAGAAGCAGTCTACAGGTTCCTGTCCCTCGGGTCCAGGCGTTGTGTTGTCAGTGGCTGATCTGTGGTCACAAGATCCTGGGGGCGGACCTGTCATTGCTGATGGTCCTGCGAAGCTTGACTCCCCTGCGGATGGCAGCCAGCATGTCCTCGGGGGCCTCGCTGGGGGAGAGGGGGGGCAGAGGCAGGGGGAGAGAGGCATCCGAGCCCCCCAGCTCGGGAAGGAGGCTGGGGAACGGGAACTGTCCGTCACCCAGGGCCTGGGCACTGGCCACCAGCTCCCCGATCTTCTCCACCAGGCTATGCCGGTTGGCGGCCAATTGCTGCTCCTCTTCGGTGGACATGTGCCCCCCTCCCACTCCCCCACCTCCTCCCCCAGGGTGCACGGAGATCTCCAGCCCTCCCCCGCTGCCCCCCCAAGCTGTGTTGGGGAGACTCAACCTCTTGGGCGAGGCTTTGGCAAACTCCAAGGCGTTGGGCGAAATGTCATCACTGAAGAACACGCACTCCTCACTGCCCACACGGACTGGCACAGCGGGGGGATGGTGTTGGTGGGGGTGGTGTTGGTGGTGGTGGTGAGATGGTGGGTCTGGCACGGTGGGTGTCTTGACTGGGACGATGGGGGGCCGGATGGGAATGGGCCCGGCGTTGGACAGGGTGCGTCTGACCGAGGGCTTGGTGGAGGGAGTCCGGCGGATGGTGGCCACGCCTGGCGTGACTGAGATGGTCTGTGTCGGGCCGGAGGGCAGCCCCGCGGTGGAGGCGGGCCGTTTGGTCTGGAACATTCTGCGGTAGCTCTGGGCGATGTCGCTGTTGCGGGGGATGGTCGAGGACCTGTCGAACTCGCTGGCGTGCTCGGGCTCCACGTCGCCGTTCACAGAGTAACAGTCGTAATCTGAAACTGTGACCAGAGAGGTCGTCAGCGTCAGTCCCCACTCCCCATAGCCTTCCACAGCCCCCAGCTCAGGCCAGCACCCCCATAGCCTCCCCCCAAGGCAACCAGCTCAACCCAGCCAGCCCTCCTGACATCTCCCGCACAGCCAGCCCCCACCCTCCCCCGACAGCCCCAGTACCCCCATAGCTTCCCCCACCAGCCACCAGCTCAACTCAGTCAGTCTTCCCCTAACCGAGAGCTGCCTCTCCTCAACAGCCCCAACCCAACCCAGCCACTCAGCCAGCTCCCCCAAGCCCCTCAGCCTCCAGCTCTCAACTTCCAGCCCAGCCAGCCCCCATCTTCCCCAACAGCCCCAGCCCTCCCCCCACCAGCCAGCCTCCCCTGACAGCCCCGACCCCCCACCAGCCAGCCCCCCCTCCCCCGACGGCCCCAACCCTCACTTCCCCTGGCAGCCCCAGTACCCACCCAACCACTCAGCTCCCAATCCCTCAGCCAGCCCCCCAGCCCAGCCACTCCCCCCGCCACCAGGTAACACATCAACTGTAAATTCACACGCAACAGGCATATTCGGCAAAGAGATCACAGGTACCTGACCAGCAACGACAAAGCCCGGCCTCACTGGGGACAACATCAATCACAGCGCCAGTCACACTCACACAGAACTAACCCACATTAACATGGCCCAACGAACACGAACAATCCACCAACATTAACAATCAACCAACAAGGGGTTAGTTGATTGGCGGATGGCTTTTCTGGAGGTAATAAATCCCTTAAAAATCAATTAATTAATTAAGAATAAAAAAATAATAATTTGAGCACGTCAATCCAGGGCTGTTTGCAGGACACTGCTGTGCGCAAATGGCTACAGCATTTCGCCCACAAGATATACAGTATAATCTGTGAAGCGCTTTTGAGACGTCTCGAAGATGTGATAATGCACTATGTCAAATGCAAGGATTATCATTATTATTAACGTAGGCCGACTAACACACATCGGACTAACCAGCACAGATGCTAACACAGGACTAATATTGGAATACCCAATATCAAGTGAGAAAGCCCTTGGACTTGACTGTCCCACGTTGGTTACATTACAGAAGAGACGTCTGGGTCTCAAGTTTTGTTCCAATGTCCAAAGAATTATGGAGGGGCCCAGGGAGTGGGAGGGGGTTGGGGAGCTCCCAGCTGGAGCTCAGCGTGTGAGCGCGGCTCCAGACTACGACACATAACATACAGCCGTGCTGCATTCAAGATTCTACACGTTCCTGTGAAATGAAACCCCATGTGACGGGTTAAAGCAGCAGCGAACCAACACTCCATCTCACTGCCCAACCCATTCCCCCACAGGACTGCTTCCATGGATCTCTCTGTGAAACTATACAATAATAATCTATAATAATAATAATAATAATTTGTTGCTGCGCGCAATTGGCTGCCGCGTTCGCCCACAAATATACAGTCAATTCACCTTACAGTGTGTTCTGTGAAGTGCTTTGGGATGTCCTCCCGACGTGAAAAGCGCTACATCAAATGCAAGGATTATTATTATTGTTATTTTGCTGAGTGAAGGGCTGGCTCCCTGTGGTACCTGTGATCTCTGCTCACACACTCAGAGCAAAACTTGTGCATGAGGTGCACACCTGGGCAGGGGGCATAGAGAGACCTCCTGGTGGATGTACCTTGCGAGGGGATGGTGTCCTCGGAGCAGGAGGGGGTGGTGGTCTGGGTGCTGTAGCCACTGGAGTACTGCAGGGAGTCGCGGCTGCTTTTCTGGTGCTCCACACTGAGCCCGCGGGTCAGCACCATAGCCAGGTCACTGGCCGCCGTGGACATCTCCTCCCCATGCTGCCAAAGGAAGGAGAGAGAGGGGGAAGCATGAGACCCTCAGACCCCAGGATCCTCTACACAAGGCAGCGAGTGAGTCTGAATGAACCCAGTTGCATTAGCCTTCACCTGTCTACACAAAACAATTTCGTACCAAACATCTGACTATTAAAACAATAAGTCGCTTCTCCTTAGTCTGGGCCCTTGACTCCTTCAGAGGTGTGTGTCAGCCTGGCTCACTTGGTAGCAACCTTGCCTCTGAGTCAGAAGGTGGTCAGGAATCACATAGTCTAAGCTGACGCTCTGATGCAGTGCTGGGGGAGCGCTGCACTGTAGGCGGTGCCGTCCTTCGGATGAGACGTTAAACTGAGATCCCGTCTGCCTGTTCAGGCGGATGTTAAAGATTCCATGGCGCTACTCGGAGAAGAGAAGGGGGTTTTCTCCCTCCCCGAGGCTCTGGAACCCCCTTCCTCACTCCCTTCCCCTCGTCCCCTCTCTTCCTATTTTCAGGTCTCTGATAAAGACCTTTCTCTTCGACCGCCTCTTGGGTCATCTTCCCCCCACTTCCCCTCCCCCTGGCTCCTCCCCCTCCCCTCCCCAGGCTGCTCCCCCTCCCCTGGCTCCTCCCCTGGCCCCTCCCCGGCTCCTCCCCCTCCTCGGGCTCCTCCCCCTCTCCTGGCCCCTCCCCCAGGCTGCTCCCCCTCCCCCTGGCTGCTCCCCCTCTCCTGGCTCCTCCCCCTCCCCCTGGCTCCTCCCCCTCCCCCTGGCTCCTCCCCCTGGCTGCTCCCCCTCCCCCTGGCTCCTCCCCCTCCCCTGGCTCCTCCCCCTCTCCTGGCCCCTCCCCCAGCTCCTCCCCTTCCCCCTGGCTCCTCCCCCTCCCTATGGCTCCTCCCCCTGGCTCCTCCCCTCCCCCTGGCTGCTCCCCCTCCCCCAACAATCTCCCAGATACAATTGGTCAAACACTTCATGGCTGTTTGTGGGACATTGCTGTGCACCAATCAGCTGCCCTGTTCTCCCACAAAACACACAGTCACTACACTTTACAGTGAATCCTGTGAAGTGTTTTGAGCCGTTCTGCGGACATGAAAGGTGCTACAAAAACCTCCTGATAACTCGACTCTGGCTTAACTTGTCACAACCGCTTAAGTCATCATGTTGTCAATATCCCGGCTACATTTATTTATGTACCTATACACATGCCTAATTCGCCGCTCCTGATAACTCGTCACTGGGACCCTTTCCTTGGAGTGATGAGTTATCAGGGTTTCACTGTATATCAAATATAATGTGAAGATTTTCACACACACCTCATGAGACAACAAATTATCTCTGTAAAGCGCCTTTCATGTCGTGAGGACGTCCCAAGATGCTGGACAGTCAGGGATTTGGACCAGAGCTGGGGTTTTTGGTTCGGTGGTGGTGGGGGGAGACAGGTAGGGGAGGAAGGTGGCTAAAGGCATGGTCGAAGAGGGAGGGTCTTAAGATGTGCCTTGAAACCTGAGCTCAGAGTTCCTCAGGACTACATATACAGGCTCCACCACCTGCTGACAGCCAGAATTACACAGCCAGAAATCTCCAGGTATTAAAAGTTTAAAGAAAGAATGTTGCTCTTCAAACAGCAAATAAACCCTCAACTACAATCTTTGTCCTCGCATTACAATCCCACATCCTGCAGATCTGTACTGACTGGAAACCTTTGAGTGACCGAGTCCAACCCACACCTTTACAGAACGAACTCCTTATACAGGTTACACCAGCGCTTTGTGTGGGGTGTGTGCGCGTGTCTGTCTGATTGTGGTTGATTCTGCGTGCATGTGAGTACGTGTGTTGTCTATGCACACCCAAACTCTGCATGCCCATCACCCCAATCCTTGCCAGGCTCCACTGGCTCCCACTCTCTTTCGCTATCTCTCTCTCCCCCTCTGAAAGGATCAACTTTCAGATCCTCACCACAAATCCCTTCATCCCCCAGGACCTCCCCAACATCTCTGACCTGCTCGTGCTCCTCGCTTCTGCCCATCCCCTTCACACAGCGGGCACTGACCTGCTGCGCACACCTCCCTTCTTACAATCCCCCAACCCCTCTGTGCCCCTAATGGTGGGGATGGCTTCACCCACCATACTTACCTCTGGAAGTCTGCCTCGATCCCTCCACCTGGTGCCTCTTTATCTATCTTTAAATCCCACCTGAAAATCCATCACTTTGCCCGTGACTAATAGTCACCTCCCCCTCTCCCTGGCTTGGCCTCTGCTCTGACCTGCCACTGTGCAGCGCTCTGAGACGCTATCCTACGTGTGGGCGCTGTGTAAATGCAAGTTGTTGACTGGATGTCCTCCTGATGTGAAAGGCACTATACAAACCTCATTTGTTGTTGTTGTTGTTGACCAACAGAAGGACAAGAACTACAATCAAACACAAGTTGTGTCAGTCGGCACCACAAATGGGTCTTGATCTGTCGCTGCCTGTGGACTTCCCGGCGAGTGTTGGAATCGCAGTGAATCGCAGGAAACAAAGTTCTTCTGTATGTGAGTCGATGTTTCCAGCGATTCAATGCAGGAGTAATGGAAGGCAGGGGAGCGGCGTGATGAGTTAGGAGGTGATTACTATGACTCAGGCAAAGAAATCTAAGTGGTTTTGACAAGAAACTGAACGGGGACTCGGGTCATGTACGACTCAGGCGGTTATATGGCTTATAAAGATAAGGCTTATGTGAGTTTTACTGTATTGGTCACTGAGGAGCAGTGACGAGTGTGAGCTCTCAGCTCAGCAGTCTTTAAGGCAGAGTCAAATGAGTCATTTTTAACTGGAATTTGATACGTGATAGCTGCTGGAGGGAGGAATGTTAAAGGGCATTGTTTTTTTGCCCAGACGGGTGGCTGACGTGTGGAAATCGGTCACCGTCACCAAACAAAACTGAGTATTCCATACAACCCACTTACACCCACAAATATCTCCAGATATTTAGTGGAATGGAATGTGCACTCTCTCTCTCTCTCTCTTCCTGGAGGGATGCATCTTGATTACCTAATTCTGGATAGTATTAGGCACAGGTTGGCAGGAGCCAAGGCTTGGGGGCCCCCGGAGTGTGCGTTGGGGTAACAGCTGGAGTCTGACCAGCTAAACCCATACAGCTTGCCATTGAGAGCGCTGACTGGTAAGCTTTCCCGCTGCTTGTCCAGCTAGGACCACCCTCCCCGTTAGGGCTTTGGCTGCAGAATTAACAGGAGCTGAGAGGGAGGATTCCCTGCCCCCAGTGATAGCACTGTCCGGCAAATTTAAAAGGTGTGGGGGAATAAGCAGGAGAGTGGGGGTAAGGTCGGCGGGGGGGCAGGGTCAAGTGAGGAAACACACCAGAGCAGACTTGAGGTGACGGTTGTTGCTGAGCGGCCAGTGACAGAGAGAATGAGCAGTTACTCACATACTGAACCTTGGCAGCGAGTGCTGAGGTGTGCATCCGGGATCTGGCCGGCTCCTCCATATTCCCACCGGGATAGATCACCGCGCCGGAGCCCACCTCCACCTCCCGGTATCGCTCCACCACCTCCTTGCGCCGCTGGAGAGTGTTCACCATCGGTTGGTCATAAGGACCAGGCTTTGACCAGTCCTAGAAGGTTTGAGAGAAGTGTCCCAGGGTTAGATGGTGCTGTGTGGCAGCTGAGAGCAAACACTGAGGCCGGGAGGTAGACAGAGCCCGGTCTCTCTTGTGCAAACGGCTGTTAGTCTCAGAACGGGAGCAGCTGGCCGTCGCAATCCCAGCAGGAAGGATTGGGAATGTGACAGGCTGGGGAGACCTGGATTGGAGTCTCCACAAGGAATGATGTGTGTGGGGGAGGGGGGATGAGCGTGAGTGACACTGTGTGAGTGAATGCATGAGTGTGTGAGTGTGCATGTGTGAGTGAGTGTGTAGGTCAGTATGCGTGCAAGTGAGTGTGAGAGATGTGAAACCGCTGCTGCCATAGGAGGGCCGGAGTGAGAGCGGGTGGGTTCCAGTCTCTTGGACTTCACTGTCTCCCGTTCTGTGGCCAGACAGCTGTAAGGGGAGGACGCCAGGGTGAGCGGGCAGAGGGATTGGGATTAGCTCATGCAATGATTGGCAAACAATGAGAGGTTAGTGACACGGGGTCAGGAGAGCGAGAGAGAGAGAGAGAGGAGCCAGCAATTAAAGAGCGAAAATAATAACTAAACAAACAAACCTTCCAGCTAGGAACCGCCGAGGAGGGGAGGAGGCCAGGTCCCAGGGGGGGGTTAAAGGGGGAGAGATCAGGGAAACTAGCAGGATTAGGCCTAAGGCAGGGCTCGCTGTCAGGAAGGAGGGAGGCAGAGCCAGATAACGCAGGTGATGAACATTCACTAGGAAGATGGACATGCACACAGCCAGCTGTAAACTGCAGATGGAAAAATATGAGATCAGCACAGGCAGTTAGTTAGTGGGCAGCCAGCCCCCTTCTTTGGGGCTTGCCAAGGAAATGCCAGCAAAACACAACTCAAAAGGCAACAGAGGCCGAATCCACAGCCTGACTATGCGGGCTAAAGACCTCGGTGACTGCTCACAGGGCATTACTGTACATACGCCAGTGTGCCGTTATCAGCGCGGAACCCTGTCTGGTTTGGATACTCTTGGTGATGGTTTACCACGCCTGTCAAGACACATCTCATAAGAACATAAGAATTTTCTGGCGAAAGAAGACCCAAGACCCATCTAGTTGGCCTTCCACCAACCTGCCAGTCGCTTGACATGCCGTGTCTCACACTGTGCACTGTATCTCGAGATCTTGGGTTGGGAGTTGCCAGTTCCTGACCAGGCATCCGCAGAATAAGAAGCAACGGCAAGCGTCTGGGGCTGGACTCAGGAAGTAAGAAGAGGAACCAAACTGAAGGAGGGGGGAACGAGTTGGGGGAAGAATGAGACCGAGGGGCAATTGCCTCTTGCTCAGGGACGCCACCTGCTGGTCAGGTGAAGGAAAGGCGGTGGAGACGGCTCTTCAAATGGAATCTAATGCAGAAATAGATTTGAAACAAAGCAATGCTTTTGTGGCCCAAAGGGCTAGGTGTGTGTTTGCCTGCATGAGATTGGCACTGTGCCCAGGGAGGTTAAAGCCCAGACTCTTTGTGGCTTCTCACTTGTTGCGGGCGGCGGCGGGGGGGTTTCTAAAAGATAGTTTCTCTAAGAGAGAAATTGAGTTGTGTTTGGGGAGGACAAGTTTGCAGGGCTATGGGGAGAGAGCGGGGGAGTGGGGTTGATCAGGGCTATGGGGAGAGAGCGGGGGAGTGGGGTTGATTTGGAAGCTCTTTTCAAAGAGCCGACACCGACACGATGGGCTGAATAGCCTCCCTCTGTGCTGTATAATTCTAGGATTCTATCATCATGAAATAGTGAGACTTGCTGCTTACACCAGATCTCCTGACCCACTCAGTGCTCACTGTGCGAGAAGGAAAGTCGCTGGAGCCGGGTGGAGGAATAGGAGGAACCAAACTTGAAAACGGGGAACGAGTTGGAAGAACCACACCAGAATCAATTCCCCCCCCCATCTCGTCCTCCGCGCTCCCACCCCCACCCATCTAGAAGCAGGACTCTGTTCCTCCCGTATCTCCTCAGTGTAGACTTTGACCTCCCAAGAGACACGTGCACCCATTCCAAACATTTCTACCAGGATCATGTCAGCGAGGCCAGCACGACACTGAGGCCAAGGCCAGTGATTAGTGTCAGCAACATTAATAATAATAATAATAATAATCCTTGCATTTGATATTGCGCCTTGTCACGGCTTCAAGACGTCTCAAAGCGCTTCACAGGATAACACTGTAAAATTGACTGAATATTTTGTGGGCGAAATGCGGCAGTCAATTGCGCACAGCGGTGTCCCACGACCAAACAAAAGATAACAGGAAAATGAAATAAATAAATAAATAAAATAAGGAGATGGGGTAGGAGGCAAGGGGATTCAAATTGCTTCAAAGACAAGTTGTGTTTTAGACATTGTTCCCTCGATAAGGAGCCACATCAGCCAGACCTCTGAAACCAGAGAGAGAGTCACCCATCTGGCCCACTCTGTCATCACGTGACCGGTTACAAAAGATTTAATCATGTCCCCAAGTCAGATCTAAGGTTGGATCAAATACTGTCAACCTGGAACACTGCACCGAATAGAGAGGGGGTTTGATTGAAAATAGTGCATTTGAGGTGTCTCTCAACTCCATCACCATCTCCCCTACACTGCCCCCGTCTCCCTGACTGCCCCCCATCACTCTAGGCTGCCCCCCATCACCCTACACTGCCCATATCCTTACTCTGCCCCCCATCTCCCTACACTGCCCATATCCTTACTCTGCCCCCCCATCTCCTTACTCTGCCCCCATCTCCCTGCACTGCCCCCATCCCCCTGCACTGCCCCCCAATCCTCTACTCTGTCATCTCCCTACACTGCCCCCCATCTCCCTACACGGCTCCCCATCTCCCTACACGGCTCCCCATCTCCCTACACGGCTCCCCATCTCCCTACACGGCTCCCCATCCCCCTCCACTGCCCCCATGTCCATGCACTGCCTCCCATTCCTACACTGCCCCCTCCCTGGCATCTCCCTACACTACCCAGTGCCCCCTATCTCCCTACCTGCCCCCCATCCCCCTACATTGCCCCCCATCTCCCTACACTGCCCCCCCATCTCCCTACACTGCCCCCCCTATCTCCCTACACTGTGCCCATACCCCCTCCACTGCCTCCCATTCCTACACTGCCCCCTGGCCCCATCTCCCTACACTGCCCCCTGGCCCCATCTCCCTACACTGCCCCCTGGCCCCATCTCCCTACACTGCCCCCTGGCCCCATCTCCCTACACTGCCCACTGGCCCCATCTCCCTACACTGCCCCCTGGCCCCATCTCCCTACACTGCCCCCTAGCCCCATCTCCCTACACTGCCCCCAATCCCACTACCTTGTGCCCCCCATCTCCCTTTGACTGGTGCCCTTCTCTGTGTAATTCACAAATGGAATTACAACTCTGGAACACTCTCCCTCAGTCCCTCCGTCTTGCTCCCTCTCTCCCGTTTTTCAAGTCCTGCTTGAAAACTTTTCCCTTTGACCGTGCTTATGGTAACCTCTCCCCCCCGACCTCGCGCCCCCCCCCCCCCACCCCGGCTCGGAGTCAGGTTCTGCCACTATTAAATGCTCTGAGATGCTACCCTGCTTGGTCAGCGCTTTATAAGTGCAAGTTGTTGTTGTTAGAAATAGACAGCAAAGAATACCGGAGACAAGGCTTTCAGCCCCTGTAGCCAGTGTCCAGGCTGTGGGGAGGGCAGTGTGTGGAGACTGGTGTGTAGCTCAAGGCTGACAGTATCTGGCAGTGGGTGGGGAGCTCAGCAGCCCGCGAGGGAGGGTTTACTCGCTGGGTTCTAAGGTCCTGGCTGACAGACAGCGGCCGATGCGAGACGGACGGACGGACGATTCACCTTTTCGCCACCTGACCAGGCTCCCGCTGTGGAGCTAGAACTCAGCGAGGTGGGTGAGCTACACTCACTAACACACTGGCACGTCTCCGAGGCCTCAGAGGAAGCCGAGCTCGACGACTTCTGCCATGCATCCGCGGAGGTCAAAGGGCAACGACGGGGAGCAAGAGAAGGGGAAGGGGAAAGAGAGTAAATCTGGTTAGAACAGCGAGCATGCAGGAGTTAACCCTCTGACAACACAGGCTTGCCCAGACCACAACACAGGTTTAATCTCAGTGCTAAATTATAGGGAGTGGATGGTTAGAGAGTAAGGAGTACTCGATCACCACACCGGCACCATGGGTTGAATGGCTTCCCCCATTGCGTCCTTGATTTCTCTGGGTCAAGGGGTCTACGGAGGGACTGATGGCTTGATCGAGTAGGTCACGGGTTGGGTTGGCACCTCAAATGACTTGAGTTTCAAGGCAAGGAGATATAAACCCTCTTTAAGATCTTCCTCTGACACGGAGTGCTAGCCCTTGGTCTCCCTGATGCCATATATAAGGATCATTATTATATCCGGCTCCCAAATGAAACACTGGATTTTGCAACACTTTGAAATGGTCAGAGCCCGAAACCAGAGGGAAAATGTCTGGTCCCAGGAGCAGGGGGAACCTGTTTGAGTTCCCCCTCCTTCTCCTGGGGTTCTCAGGCCAATTATAGCCTTGAATGGTGACCCCCACCCCTGGCCTAGACTCATTTGCTCAAATCGGTCACTTTCCTGATCTGTTCTGATGAAGTCTGCTTTGGGCAGTGCTATTACCCACCAGGGGGAGCCAATGGACCGTCTCTAACAAAACATTGGCGATCAATGTGTGGAAGCCCCAAATTCCATCAAGTCTCAGCCTGTGGGACTGTTTACGTCGTCAAATTTAAGTATTTTTTTTCGCAGATTCAATTACAACTTTCAAAGGGATCTGCACTTGACGAGGAACAACTTCAACGCAGCTGTAACCTGGAAGCCGGTTTTCCAAAGTTCTCAAAGAAAAGAATTGTGCATCCACAGTCCTGCTCCACCTTAACATTTAAAGCCACAAAGGTCCCTCGGGCCGAGAGTGGGTGGAATTCCGGGCTTTGATCCCAGCCTGGGGTGGGTTTTGGAAGCATTCAGGAAAGGGGAGGAGCTGGGAGTCAGTGGTGGAGGGGAAGGGGAAATGGGGAGAGAAACTACATGAAACAGGAGCTTATATAAAACCAGCGCAGCCTTTCCAATATTTCCCGGAGAATTGCATTCTGTGCGAGACCCAGTGGGAAGGAAGCTCAGCCACGAACAAACAGCTACTGACTGAGCCAGGCCTGAACCACTCCGGGGGGAATGGGACGGGAGCTCGAAATGCTCCAAGAGAGAGAGAGAGGGGGGGGGGGGGGGAGAGGGAGAGAGAGAGAGATTACTAATAACAGTAGCAATCCCTGCGTGTCAAAAGGGAATTGGATTGTTACTTGAAGAGAAGAGAGAGCTTACATAGCAATCCCTGCATTTCAAAAGGGACAGACACCAGGAAGTATTTCTTTACCCAGAGGGGGATTAATGATTGGAACAGGTTATCAGGAAGGACATTGGACTCGGTGAGGTGAAGGGGGGGGGGGGGGGGGAAGTATTCTGGAGGGATGAGACGTGGAGTCCTGTGGCGTAGTGGTTAGTGCACTCGCTTAGCAAGGAAGAGGACATGGGTTCGATTCCTGGGCAGGGTGAAACCTTAGGCAAGTTTCCTTACCCACACGCCTCTGTTTACCAACATTAAGTAGGAATCCGGTTGTTAGTCAATTGGCAGATCGCTTTCTGGAGATAATTTCCTAATCCCTAATCCCTGACTGTTCAGTGGCTTGGGACGCCCTCCTGACGTGAAAGGTGCTTTACAACTATAACTTTGTATTGTAGTGTAATAAACCTTCCAAAAAAACACGCGGTCACTCAATCCACAACTGTCTTGGGCCACTGCTATGTGCAATTGGCTGCTGTGATCATGTGATCTTGTGCAGCTATAAATGGTGCAGCGGACTGAGACTGGGTGGAATTTGGGGGCATGTGATGCTATGGGTCCTTTGCGAGTTGGTGGGGGGGAAGAGTTGACTGCCAAGAACATAACAACGTAAGGAATGCTAGAAGATAAAAAGACCAAGGTCCATCTAGTTCGCCTTCCATCTTCCTGGTGGTCGCCTGCTCATATGTCCCGAACTCCCTATGTGCTATATCCCATAATGTTATTTCCTAAACCCAAACTATCTAATCTGTGTTTGAAGGAATCAACATTTCTTGCCTCAACCGTCTCCCTCGGGAGCCTGTTCCACAGGATCACGATTCGTTCTCTGAAATAGTGTTTGGTAGATTTGTTCTGAGTTTACCCCCAACGTTTACGGCTGGAAAGGAAGAGGGGCTTTACCTGGCTGGTGATGTCCGATGGCATTGGCGATGGCGGTTTGGAATACATGGCGTCCTGGGAGACGAAGCCGGAGTCGTGTGAGGAGACGCTGGAAAGCCGTGTGCCGCTGGTCGCCGACTGGGCCAAGCTGCGGTACCGATAGTTGGAACTTGGTGAGTGAGTTTGGGAACCACTGGAGCGTGACGTGCTACTGTTTGTACTGTTTACACTGCTGGGGGGAGGGGGTGTGCGGGGAGGGGGAGTCGGTGAGAGGAGAGGTGAGGAGTGAGGAGTGAGAGGGGAGGGTGGGGGTGAGGAGTGAGGGCGGGGGGGCGGAAATGGAGAGTGAGGGAGACAATTTGAGACAAGGTCAGACAAAAATCACCACGGCACAGACACACACACACAGCAGGCAGAAGGCTACACATTGGGGAGGGCGAGGGGCAAATGGGAACATTTTACACCTTCCCCCCCACCCCTCGCTTTGTATCTCCACGGCAGCATCCAGTTACCACATTGCAATTGGGTTTCCATTCCATTTGCTGCCAGATTCCAGCCCCCAAACCCCACCCCCCACTCCATCACATCCCAGAATTGGTGAACCATGCACATGCTTTGTGTCCCCCCACTCAAAAGGAGGGTCAACAGGAGCTTCTGGATCGAAGGTCAATCCCCCAAAGGAGGGTCACTGAGGTTACAACTCAAGGTGGTTGGTTGGGATCCTGGTGTTTGGGCATTACATTTAATTTCCATCCCCACCACCACCCACCCCACCCCCAGAGACCGCCCTGTCTCCCCTCCTGGTGGAGTTCACTGCCCTCCCGTCTTACACGAGGAACTGAGCAGAGAGAGGAAGAGAATCCCGGCTCCATTACCCACTCAGCGGCAGGAAAGAGCAGCCACCAACACACAGGGCCGGCTCCAGAGTAAGTCAGCATCTCCGGGTGAACATCTCTCATGTGGGGCAGGGAATCCTCCCACTCAGCTCCTGTTAACCCCGCAGCCAAAGCCCTGAGGGGTAGGGTGGTCCTAGTTGGCCAGACAGCGCTCTCAATGGCAAGCTGTGGGGTTTTAGCTGGTTAGACTCCAGTAGTTTACCCCAACGCACAATCTGAGGTCCCCAAGCCTTGACTCTTGCGCCTAATACTTTTGAAATTCGGTAAACAGGATGTGTTCCTCCAGGAAGAGCGCATTCCATTCCAACAATCTATCTCTGGGATTCCTATGTGTAGGTGGGATACATGGAATTCTCAGCGGGTTTGGATGCTGTTAAGGTGATGGGTTTCCACACGTGTCAGACACTCGGCTGACCACAAAAAATTCTCTTGTGTAAATCAGGGATTTCCAGAGATAGAATGAGAGCTTTTCACAGACACGACCTGCAATAAACTGACCAAATGCTCCATGGGGCAGGGCTAAGGGGCAGCCCCCTCCCCTATACCCTGTGAGAGTGGGAAAGCCAGACACCAGAAGGTCATTGAGAACTGTACAAACAGGCGCCTGGGAAACAGGTGTTAGTGAGTGTCAGGACCGGCATGTGGCAAACACAACCGTGAGAGGGAATCGGCTCCGTAAACTGAGACTAGCAGCGACCGGGCCATCATCACTGCTCATCTCACACCCCAACACTCACCATGTTCCCCATCATTAACTTTCATAAGAACATAAGAATTTGCTGGCGAAAGAAGCCCGAGGTCCATCTCGTTCACTTTCCACCATCCTGGCAGTCGCTTGACATGTCGTGCCCCAAACTATACACTGTTTTGGCCCCAGATATTATTTTCCAGCAGAAATCTATCTCATTTGTTCTTGAAACAAAATTCATTTTGTGCTGCCACCGTCTGTCTCCCTAGTGAGGTTGTTCCATATGTTTACTACTCACTCAGTGAACTAGTGTTTCCGCAGATTTATTCTGAATTTAACCCCCTTCAATCACAGGCCGTGTCCTCTGCTTCTACTGTTCAGCGCAAGATAAAACAGCTTCTCGTGATCTACATGATCTATTCCCTTCAGAATCTTAAAGACCGTAATTATATCGTCCCTCAACCTTCCCTTCTCCAGTGTGAACATGCCCAGTTTATCTAATCGCTCCTCGTAGTCCAGTCCCTCCATCCCCTCAATCATTTTGAATGGCCACTAATTGAGCTTGATCCAACCGCAGACCAGACCTACCTGCACATGCTGGATTTGCGTGAGCCCGAGCTGCTGGGGGAGGAGGGGGGGGTCTGATAAGTCCAGCTGTAGTCAGACCCCTTCAGGTCTTTAATCACCTGGTAGGAAAGGCAATGAGTTACTGCTGCCCTCGGCAGCTCGCGCTTGGATACAATCACCATCCTTACGTTCGGCACAGAATCTTATCACTTGGTCGAGACGTCTCAAAGCGCTTCACAGGATACACTGTCAAGTGAATTGACTGTGTATTTTGTGTGCGCAATGCGGCAGGTGAGGTGTTATATAATTGTAATTTTGTTGTTGTTACAAATTTTGTCTGTCTGCGTCCATCTGTGTGTGTACATACGTGTGTGTGTGTGCCTGTTTCTGTAGTGCACCTGTGTACTTGTGTATGTCAGGGTATATATGTGTAATGTACCTGTGTGTGTGTGTAATGTACCTATGTGTAACATATCTGTTTGTGTAACATACCTGTGTGTGTCTAATGTGCCTGTGTGTGTGTGTGCATGTAACATACCTGTGTGTATAACATATATGTGTGTGTGTGTGTGTAACGTGTGTGTTACAAATTTTGTCTGTCTGCGTCCCTGTTTCTGTACCCGTGTACTTGTGTATGTCAGGGTATATGTGTGTAATGTACCTGTGTGTGTGTGTAATGTACATGCGTGTGTGTAACATACCTCTATGTGAGTGTATGATGTACCTGTGGTATGTGTGTCTAACATCCAGGTGTGTGTGTTTGTGTAATGTACCTGTGTGTGTGTGTATGACATACCTCTATGTGTGTGTAACATATCTATGTGTGTTTGGTGTGTGTAACGTACCTGTGTATGTGTGTGTAACATACCAGTGTGTGCGTTTGTGCAATGTACCTGTGTGTGTGTGTATGTATGAAATACCTGTGTGTGTGTGTGTGTATAACATACCAATGTTGTGCGTGTAACATACGTGTATATATGTGTGTGTAACATACCTATATGTGTGTGTAACGTACCTGTGTGTGTGTAACGTACCTGTGTGTGTATGTGTGTGTAACGTACCTGTATGTGTGTGTGTCTGTGTGCATGTGTGTCTATGTTTATGTATGTGTGTGTGTGGGTATGGGTGTGTGTGTTTGTGCATGTGTATCTGTGGGTGTGTGTCTGTGCGTGGGTATCTGTGGGTGTGTGTCTGGGCCTGTGTGCGTCTGTGGGTGTGCGTGCGTCTGTGGGTGTGCGTGCGTCTGTGGGTGTGCGTGCGTCTGTGGGTGTGCGTGCGTCTGTGGGTGTGGGTGCGTCTGTGGGTGTGCGTGCGTCTGTGGGTGTGCGTGCGTCTGTGGGTGTGCGTGTGTGTTGGTGGGTGTGTAATTACCTGCTCACTGGCCGGAGGCAGCTTGTGTGGTTCTGCGGTCTGGACAACGAGGTCATCAACGATGGCCTGGAGGTGAGTGATCTCCCCGAGCATTGCCAGCTCCCCATCCTGCAAACACACAGACATCTCACCAGCTCTGCCCTGACCCCAGACAAACACACAGACATCTCACCAGCTCTGCCCTGACCCCAGACAAACACACAGACATCTCACCAGCTCTGCCCTGACCCCAGACAAACACACAGACATCTCACCAGCTCTGCCCTGACCCCAGACAAACACACAGACATCTCACAGCAGCCAAGAGAAGGGCTAACCCTCAAATTCAGTGTTAATTCTGAGATGGTTTTCTCTGCAGATCCTAAATAGAAACTCACTGGAAAAACATCTTCAGAATTGAGGCCCATATTTTAACAATTTGCCAAACTTCTCCCGGACAAATACTTAAACCCTGACAAGTAATTTCTGCACACCTCAAACCTCACACTGCCTTATACTTGGGGCAAACCTCTCAAAGCAACCAATGATATTTGGGGGATTGTTGGCCAGGACACCGAGAGAGAGAGAGAGAGAGAAACTCCCTTCCCTTTTCGAATACTGTTGCGCCATGGGATCTTTAACGTCCACCCGAACAGGCAGATAGAACCTTGGTTCCAGGTCCCATCCGAAGGACGGCATGTCCGACAATGCAACACTGCCTCATCGCTGCTTTAGAGCGTCAGCTTAGGTTGTGATTCCAAGTCCCGATGTAGGGCCTTCTGACTCAAGAGGCGAGAGAGAGAGACTGCGCCAGCGAGATGAGGAGAATGTTTTTACACAGAGAGTTGTTAGGGTTTGGAACGCACGGCCTGAAAGAGTCGGTGGCAACAGATTCAATAACAACTTTCCAAAGGGAAGTGGATAGGGAGTTGCAAAGGAAAAACTTGCAGGGATGTCGGGAAAGAGCGGGGAAGTGGGACTGATTGGGGCGCTCTTCCAAAGAGCCGGCACAGGCACAATGGGCCAAATGGCCTCCTTCTGCGCTGTGATGTTCTAGGATTCTATGACATGTTCTCCTGGGTTGGGTTGGGGGGTGGGGGGAAGGGCACGAGGCTGATCCTTACCACCACCGGCTGTAGGAAGGTGATGAAAGTGCAGAACCTTCCGCGTTCCTCCACCAGAGCCTTGCGCACGGCTTGCTTCTCTGTCTCCTCCAGCAGCAGGTACATGTCGTTCACATCCTGAACCGCATTCTCCACCTGTGGCCTCAGGTCCCCTTTACCTACATTGGAACAGAAAGTGCTCGGAGCTCACCCCACAAGTCAGAGTGGGACGGCCAGTATCCACAAGAACAGACCCCCCTCTACACACACATACACCCCCCAACCCAGAACACACACACACATGGTGTCCTGCCTGGGACACTCTTTCACTATCACTGGGTCAAAATCCCTTGGATTGTAGGGTGAACAGGATATGAGTGGGAAGTGGCCCTTCCCCTAGGAACTGGTCTCCTCCTCAGAAAGCTACCGATGAGCCAGGCTGGGCTGTGCTACCATCACCAGTCTCCTGGAATACTGCGGACCCACCTGGCTCAGGACTAGAGACCGTCACAGAGGGTGGGCTCGATTTTGTTTCCAAGCACATCACCAGCTCAGCCCCCAAAGAGACTGCTTAACGCCCCCGCTCCCCATGGACAGTGATGGACAGTTGGTGTCAATGGGGTAATTTGACTATTGGGACATCTCAGCTGTGCTCACTCACTTCCCAGCAGAGGGAGGGTTAGGGTTCAGAAGCAGCAACCTCGCTGCTATCTCCCTCCCTAACCCTAAGGAGCCAAGGCCGATAGCAGGTCAGACACCAGGACCTTGGCACAAGGTGACCCTGGCAGGTTCCTGACGCTTGAGACCGTAGCCAGCCCTGACCTGTGAGGCCATGTTGCCATCAAATATAAGATGAATGTTTCCTGGGTTCTTAAAAGAATCTGGCTTCTGAATTAAGGCTGGATTGAAGACTCCTCGGAATTCAGGGTGATCGATCTTCAATTCTTAAGATAAAATGGTCTGAGAGGTAAGACTAGGAGAAATCTGAGGTGTGTGTGACATCCAGTGGGTTCTGGATTGGCTGAAAGGACTTTGGACATTGGATGGGTGGGGGGGGGGGGGAGAGTTGGAAAGTACAAACAGTGAAAGATTTGTTTTAACAACACCACAGAAAGTACGAAACCCTCTCCCTCTCCAGCACTAACTCAGTGACAACAACACATGAACATCCACAATCACACAGTTAGTAATTCAAAAGGTGGACGTTCTTTAGAAATGGCAGGAATGGACAAACCAGCACGATGCACTCACTCCACCCCCAACCTCCTCCACCTCAGCCCCACCACCAAACACCCATAGCCTGAACCCTGCCCCCACTACCCCATCACGCAGAGACTCTCCCCTTCCCTGCCCCCAATACCCTGACACACACCTTGCCCCATCCCTGCCCCCCATAACCCAACATACCAAAGGCCCTGCCACCAAATACTCCGACACACACCAGACACCCCATCCTTACGCTCTGCTCCCCATTAGCCAATGATCCGCAGGCAAATGAAAGAGCTACAGAACAGTCATTACACCGGGAAGTGCTGGGACACAGCCTGTACTGAGAGGCTCTGGATTAATCTGGATTTTTATTGACGAGATTTACATTTGCGCCAAATTTCCCTTTTCCTCTTTATTTTATCAGGATGTTTTTGTGAACAGGGTTTTGACTGTTTCTAGCACTTCTCAAGGAACCCATACAAAACCCCACCATGTCCTAATGTCCTGTCAGCCCCAAACATGTGTCTCAACCCCCACCTCCACTCGAGCCCCAATCCCAGCTCCACCCCCAGCCCCAACTGAACCCCAATTCACACACTCAGTGCTCTCTCTCTGTGTCCGAACTCTGTTCACCTCACCTCTGCCTAGCGCAGTCTGTGCCCCTCGTGTGTGTGACCATGTTAAACACACAGGCTGACGCGACTCCACTATAACATTGTGGTTTGGGGTCTCAAGTTGTTATCGGGGCTTACAAAAAACTGCCGCTGGTGGGGTGAGGTCTCCACTAGTGTCAGTTCCTGTGTAGAGCAGCCATGCGCACGGCGAGCACATCACTTCGTGCAAACCGTGCATGACCGCCGTGTACACAAAGCGATCGTCAGTGGCATGTGCAGCACGCTGGTCAATCAGTGCCACAGAGAGAGCCCAGCCAATCCCCAATTCGTCATTAAAATCAGAATATCTCAAAGGGCTTCCCAGGGAATCACTGCAAAGTGTAGTGACTGGATAATTTGTGGGCGAACGTGCAGCCAACTTGTGCACAGCAATGTCACGTAAACAGTCACGGAGTGAGTGACCAATTTTATTTGGGGGGATTGTTGGCCAGGACATTGGGAAAGAGAGAGAAACTCCTTTTGAATAGTGCGATGATCCATCTGAACAGCAGTCAGGACCTCGGCTTAACATCTCATCTGAAGGACGGCATCTCTGACAATGCAGCACTCCCCCAAAAGTTCATAGAATCATACAGCACCGAGGGAGGCCATTCGGCCCATCGTGTCTGTGTCGGCTCTTTGAAAAGTGCTTCTAAATCAACCCCACTCCCCCGCTCTCTCCCCATAGCTCTGATCAACCCCACTCCCCTGCGCTCTCCCCATAGCCCTGATCAACCCACTCCCCGCGTCTCCCCATAGCCCTGATCAACCCCACTCCCCCGTTCTCTCCCCATAGCCCTGATCAACCCCACTCCCCCACTCTCTCCCCATAGCCCTGATCAACCCCACTCCCCCGCTCTCTCCCCATAGCTCTGCAAACTTGTCGTCCCCAAATAATTATCTACTTCTCTCTTAAAAGCTGTTATTGAATCGGTTCCCACCGGCCTTTCAGGCAATGTATTCCAGATCCCAACAACTCTCTGTGTGAAAACATCTCTCCTCCCCTCCCCTCTGTTTCTTTTAACATCTATTTTAAATCGGTGCCCTCGGGTTACCGACCCACCCGCCAGTGGGAATAGTTTCTCCTGTTCACCCTATCGAATCTGCTTATAATTTTGAAAACTTCCATCAAGTCTCCTCTTAACCTTCTCTGCCCCAAGGAGAATAATCCTCGCTTCTCTACCTCTCCTGATAACTGAAGTCCCTCATTCCTGGTACCATCCTGGTCAATCTCCTTTGCACCCTCTCCAATGCCTTGACATCCTTCCTAAAGTGTGGGGCCCAGAACTGAACACAGTCTCTCGCTGAGGCCTCACCAGTGTTTTATATAAAGGTTCATCATAACTTCCTGACTTGTGTACTCTATGCCCCTATTTATAAAGCCCAGTGTCCCATATGCTCTTTTAACAGCTGTATCTGCCTGTGCTGCCACCTTCAAAGATTTACTATATGACCCCCAGGTCTCTCTGTTCCTTCACCCCCTTTAAGACTGTACCATCAGCTTATATTGCCTCCTCATTCTTCCTCACAAAATGCATCACTTCACATTTCTCCACATTAAACTTCATCTGCCACGTGTCTGCCCATGTTACCAGTCTGTCTATGTCCATTTGCCGTCTGTTACTATCCTCCTCACTGTTTATTACTTTTCCAGCTTAGTATCATCTGCAAACTTGGAGTTTGTCCTCCCTGTACCCGAGTCCAGGTCATTTATATAGATCACAAACAGCAGTGGTCCCATTAGTTGTTCCTGTGCTTTCAAGCATCAGTTAGTTAGGCAGACCCTGGGGAATGGGGCCTGACTTTGTTGGCTGTTCCAACTTGTAAAACCAGTTGCTCTCAGTATTTGCTGGTCGCAGCACATTCCTGCTTTCACACGTGCAATAATGAGATAATAGAAGACTCAAAGACAGTGGAGAAACGTCTCTGTCCCAGTGGACATTTTACTCACCCATAAATTCTACCGGGAGAAGAAGGAGGAGAGGAGGAGGAGAGGAAGAGGAGAAAGTGAGAACGTCAGAAAGAGAGCAGAGAGGAGTGAGTGAGTGAGTGGGTGGGTAAGTGGGTGACTGAGTGGGTGGGTTGGTGGGTGGGTGCGTGAGTGGGTGGGTGAGTGACTGGGTGGGTGAGTGAGTGGGTGGGTGAGTGAGTGGGTGGGTGGGTAAGTGAGTGGGTGGGTGAGTGAGTGGGTGGGTGGGTGGGTGAGTGAGTGGGTGGGTGGGTGGGTGAGTGAGTGAATGAGTGGGTGGGTGGGTGAGTGAGTGAGTGAGTGAGTGAGTGGGTGGGTGGGTGGGTGGGTGGATGGGTGGGTGAGTGAGGCGCTGAGAGCTGAGGCTCAGAGTTAGAGGAGTTTAATAAACATCCCAGAAACACGCAAATCAACATCCGCATCAGCCAAACAGCGCGGGGTAGGGGGAGCGGGGAATGGGCACACAAAATGGCTGCTTTAGGGTAAAGATAATGCGTCACATCAAAAACTTATTCAAAATGACTTTAAGTTGTACTGTTTTTAAGAAAATGACTACATTCAGCAGCAAGGACTTAACATGTCAGCTATACTCAGCAGCAGGGACCTCGGTGGCCTGGCCGCTTGCCCAGGACTGCTCCATCACAGCGAGTCCGCATTTCCAGTAAGCAATGGATTCCCCTCCTCTCCACGGCTCCACACTCATCACCCTCCCTGCTCTGGGCCCCTCTATCTGGTCACTAATGACGTCTTCTCTCTCTCTCTCTGACCAGGACCTCCTCTGGGCTCCTGGACCTCTCTGCCGCTATCCTCCCCCACCGCCTCGCCTCCCCTCATCCACCCGAGTGGGACCCGCGCTCCTGCTCCGAGTCCAATTCATCAACCACCATCACTTTGTCTCCACAAAGTTTTTTCCTCCCGTCTCCGCACACTATCCTGGCTCCATTCACGGCCTCTTCCTCTTCCTCACCCACACGCTCCCTCTCTCTGGTCACCCCCCGCCCCCCCCCCACCCCCCCCGCTGGCTCGGCATCGTGCTCCGCCACTGTAAAGCGCCCCGGGATTCCACCCCCACGTGAAGGGCGCGATATAAATGCAAGTTGTTGTTGTTGTTGGGCCCCTCTCTCTCTCTCTCTGCGCTGCTCTCTCTGGACAGATGGACAGACTGGTGTAAAGTGCAGCCTGCGAGCTGCAGAGCTCTCACCTTTCCGGGCTTTCTTCTGCAGCTTGAGGGTGTCGGAGGATTTCTTCTTGATCTCGTGCCGAGCTCGTTTGTACTCTGCGGGAGAGGAAAATAGTCACACAGCGAGGAGAGGAGAGAGGGGAAGAGCAACTCAGCCCCCTGTGTATCTATCTGCACAGCTCCTGGGGGCTCTTTTCTCTGTGACATAATTCCAATCCTTGTTTTTGACGTAGCGCCTTATCACGTTGTTGAGACATCTCAATTCGCTTCTCCGGACAGACTGGGAAGTGGAGTGACTGTGTATTTTGTGGGTGAAATGCGGAAGCCAGGAAACAGCCATGGAGTGAGGGAGCAATATTTATTTGGGGGATTGTTGGCCAGGACACTGGGAGAGAGAGAGGGAGAGAGAAACGCCTTTCTCTTTTCGAATCGTGCCATGGGATCTTTAACATCCACCTGAACAGGCAATCGGGACCTCGGTTTTAACGTGTCCTCTGAAAAATGGCACCTCCGACAACACAACACCCCCCAGCGCTGCATTGGAGCATCAGCTTAGACCATGTGATTCCAAGTCCCAATGTGAAATTGGAACCCACAACCTTCTGGCTCTGAGGTGAGAGCGTGGGAGACCCTCCGAGAGGTGAGTGCTCTCTGGTTTCTCACTGACCTTCCAGCTGAGGGCAACTCCTTGTATAATTATGAAATTAAACACTAATACAAGCGATAGTTATCTACTAACTCCCAAGTTTCATTCTTCCTTTACCCGGACACTGTTAGACGGCATTAAACACTTTTTTAATTGCTTTAATTGCTCCGAGACTCTCCTTGTGTGAAGTGTGATTAAGTGCAAGCTCTTGTTGTGATTGTGTAGTACCATTTTATAGCCAGCAGGAGGCACTATTGCACTTCAACCGCAACAACAACTTGCATTTATATAGCTCCCCTCATGGAAAGCAGGCGCACTTATCCGCGGCGGAGCCTGACACTGAGCCGGGGGCAGGGGGGAGATGACTGTAAACACCTTGAAGAGGAAGGTTTTCAATTGTGATCTGAAGGGCAAGGAGGGGGCAAGGTGGAGGGATTGAGGCAGAGAGTTCCAGAGTTTTGGGGGCCGAGTGGCTGAAGGCACGGCTGGCGATAGTGGAGCAGAGAGGACGAGAAATGTACAGAATGGTGGAGCCAGCGAACGGAGGTGGCGGGTGGTGGAGTAGGGAATAAAGCAGGTCAGGGAGGTAGGGAGGAGCCAGGAGGTGAAGTGACTTGTGTGCGAGTGTGAGGATCTTGAAGCTGATCCATTTTTACGAGAGCGAGCCGGTGGAGCCTGGCGAGGACTGGGGTGATGGGCGTGTGGTGTGGGTGAAGTTATGGGTAGCGGAGTTTTGAATTAATTGGATTTGAAGAATGGTGGAGCTGGGGAGACAGGCGAGGAGGAGGGCATTGGAATAATCGAGGCAGGAGGTGATGAGGTGATGGGTAAGAGTTTTGGCTGCAACGTGGCAGAGGTGGTAATAGATTTGGGTGTCTTCCTTGAACACAATAAAATGTTTTGGTCAGCCGCTTAAGAGTACCTAAACTAGATAGAGGTCCATTTGTGTCACCTTCACATGGAAATTCCTGTATCTGGAATGGAATGCGCACTCTCTCCCTGGAGGGACACATCCTGCTTCCCTAATTCCGGAAAGTATTAGGCGCAGGTTGGCAAGAGCGAAGGTTTGGGGACCCCAGAGTGTGCGATGGGGTAACTGTTGGAGTCTAACCAGCTAAAACTATACAGCTTACCACTGAAATGACACAAAGCTATTTTTCCATCTAAAGCAATGAAGTCTATATGTTTAGCGGAGCAAAGCTTTGAGCTTGTGGCCTGAGGTTGTAAGTTAGGTTATCAAAATGCTTGTGTGAAGGAGTAAATGAAGGTTGGGATGTTTCACCTTTGGCGTGATCCTTGTCCAGCTGGGTGGCTGATTTCTTCCAGTCTTCGATCCTTTCTTGCAAAGGGTTAATGAGACTCTCCATCAGGGCACTGGGGAAACAAGAGCCATCTCACCAATGTGAAGCCACTAGAGACAACGTCATCATCAACAACAGATTTTCAAGGCTGAGATGTTTGTTAGGCCAACACCGGTTGGTGTTGTTAAATGTCCATCACTACAACAACTTGCATTTTATGTAACAACTTTTGTGTAGAATAACGTCTCACACTGCTTCACAATAGTGGATGACAAGCAGGGAGGAGGCGAGAGGGGGACGGAGTGACCAAAGGCGGTTAAAGAGGCAGGTCTTGGAGCGAAACGGGGCGGGCAGGGCGAGGGACGTGAAGCAGGCCAGTGCCTGCAGAGCAGAGGGAGAGGACAGGTTGGTCCAGAAAGCCCAGGCCAACTGAGCTGCCCTTCTCACCACATCCCTCAATCCTATCTGTCCAGCAACGGCAACACATCCAGAGGGGATGTAACAAGAGACCTTCCATTTCATCTGACGTCTGTCAAGTCAAAAGCACTTGTGTCAAGTGTAGTGACTGAATAATATAACAACACTTCCAATTGATATAGTGGAGTCCAGTAGCTCAGTGGTTAGAGTTCCAGCTCTCGCTTCGCGAGTGAGAGGCCTGGGTTCGATTCCTGGCCAGGGCAGGTTTCTTTTCTCTACACACACGCCTGATAACAATCCCTCAAGAAAAAAAACAATAATAAGTTGGTCACTCAACCCACGGCTGTTTGTGGGACACTGCTGTGCGTAATTGGCTGCTGTGTTTCACCCACAAAATATAGTCAATTCACTTTACAGTATATCCTGTGAAGCGCTTTGAGATGTCTCGAAGATGTGAAAGCACTATATCAAATGCATAGAGTATTATTATTATTATAGTGCCTTATCACGTTATCAAGAAGTCTCGAAGCACTTAGCAAGATAGACTGTAAGGTAACGTTAGTGTGACTGTATATTTTATAGGTGAGTGTGGCAGTTAATACAGCAGTGTCCCACAAACAACCTTGGAAGTTGGTGACTAATTTTATTTGGGGGAAAGTTGGCCAGGACACCAGTAGAAACTCCTTCTCCTTCCGAATAGTCCCCCTGGGATATTTAATGTCCACCTGAACAGGCAACAACAAATAACACGTGTAAAGCGCCTTTCATGTCGGGAGGACGTCCCAAGGCGCTGGACAGTCAGGGATTTGGGCCCGAGAAGGGGGTTGGGATCAGGTGGGGGGGTGGAGTGGCGGGGAGGGCAGGCGGTCGAAGGCACAGACGGGGGCTCGGTTTAGCGTTTCGCCCGAAGCTAGTGAATGAGCCGCAGTGGGCGGGACACTCACTTGGTGAAGTGTCGGAGTTTGGCCTCGATGCTCCGATGCCTCATACACATGCGAGTCAGCGCTGAGCCCACCTCCCGAGTGGCACCTGGAAAGAGAAAAAAGGTTTGAGAATGGGTGAGTAGTTCCCGGGTGTGTCCAGGAGAGGGAGACAACAGCCAACGTCAGACTGAACCATCTCAGTTCCTGTGGGAAGCCAAACTGCACGACAAACACAACGTATTTCACCCTCTCGGCCTCTTTAACTCATCATCAGTCTATTTATAAACCTCCCGCATTCCTCCAGCAGATCCCAGTCTGCAACGCTCTCTCATTGTAGGATAAAAATGGTAGTAACCCTTGCCTTTGATCCAGCGCCTATGACATCCGAACGTCTCAAAGAGCTCCGCAGGGAATTGGTGTCAAGTGTAGTGACTGTGTACAGCCTCAGAAACAGCCACGGAGTGAGTGACCAATGTCATCTGGTGGTGATTATTGACCAGGTCACTGGGAGAGAAACTCCCTTCTCTTTTCCAATAGGGCCACAGGATCTTTAACATCCATCTGGACAGGTAGCTTTGACCTCAGTTTAACGTCTCATCCTTCGGGAGGTGCAACAACGACAACTTGCATTTATATAGCGCCCTTAACATGGGGTAATGTCCTGGAACACTTGACAATGAGCCACGGGGAGAGGGAGGGGAGAGGTGACCGTAATAAGCACAATCAAAAAGGAAGGGCTTTGGGTGGGATTTGAAAGTGGGGAGGGAGGGGGTGAGGCGGGGGAGATTGCGGGAAAGGGAGTGACACAGTTTGGGTGCATAGTGGCTGAAGGCACAGCCACCGATGGCGGAGCGGAGGGAACGAGCGACAAACAGAAGGCCGGAACCAGCCGGGCGGAGGCAGCGGGTGGTGGAGTGGGGCGGGGCGGGGCGGGGGGGGGTTGTGGTGAGCAGATCGGTCGGGTACCTTCAACAATGCAATGCTCTCCCACAGATGGACAGCTACACGGTTTTGGTTGGTTAGACTCCTGCAATGCCCCACTACACACTCTGGGCTCCCCCCACAAAGCCTTGGCTCTCGCCTACCTGTGCCTAATACTCTCCAGACAAGGTCGCTGGGAACACTCAACAGGTCAGGCAGCATCTATGGAGAGAAGGGATTTGAATGTAAGGACCCTCCCGGGTCCTTACATTCAAATCCCTTCTCTCCATAGATGCTGCCTGACCTGCTGAGTGTTCCCAGCGACTTCCCAGCCCACAAAACCTTCCTGAGGATTAATAATAATAATAATAATCCTTGCATTTGATGCAGTGCCTAATCACGTCATTGAGACGTCTCAAAGCGCTTCACAGAACATACTGTGAAGTGGAGTGACTGTGTATTTTGTGGGCGAAACGAGGCAGCCAACCGCGCACAGCAGCGTCCCACAAACAGCGACCAAATGTTTTTCTGAGGGATTATTACCCCCCGGAAAAGCGATCCGTCAATCGACTAACGACCAGGTTCCTACTTACTGGTGGGTAAACAGAGTTCAGGAAGGAAATGTCCCCAACGTTTCTTCCGCCTGGGAATCGAACCCAGGTCCTCTCGCTTGCAGGGCGAGTGCTCTAACCACTGAGCTACAAAATTCCCCTGAGGAATCAGGGGCTTCAAAGATCTCGCTGGAGTATTTGATATTCGATGGCACAGGAGCACAGCGACGAGAGAAGGCAATTCCCGCAGATACAACCGGTCACTTGCTTCACGCCAGCTTGTGGGACATTCAGGAAGAATTTAAAGTTTTCTGACAGGATTGCCTGATAATAATAATAATAATCCTTGCATTTGATGTAGCGCCTAATCACGTCATCTCAAAGCTCTTCACAGAGTATACTGTAAAGTGTAGTGACTGTATTTTGTGGGCGAATGCTATATTTCGGTCCAAGAAAAAGGCACAGAGACCTAATAGTAAAAATAATCTTTGCATTTGATCACATGTCAGGAAGATGTCTCAAAGCGCTTCACAGGATTTTTACTGTAAAGTGTAGTGACTGTGTATTAGTAAGCAAAGCCGGCAATCATTTTGTGCACAGCGACATTCCACAAACAGCCATGGAGTGACTGAGAGACATAGAGACGCAGGGAGGGTGAGAGCCACAACCACAACAACAAATTACATGTGTGTAATGTCTTTCATGTCGGGAGGAGGTCCCAAGGCACTGGACAGTCAGGGATTTGGACCTGAGCTGGGGGTTGGGATCTGAAGGGTGGGGGCAGGAGGGTGACCAAATGCGAGGTCGAAGAGGAGGGTCTTTGAGACGTGCCTTGAAGGTGGCGAGGGAGAGGCACGGGGTAAGCATTCGGGCCGTGACTGAGATGAAATCTTTTTGTTGCTTGTAATTAGATGCAGATCCGATTCGCACCGCCTCTTCCTAACATCAAACAAACACCCGCAGGCATCCATCCTCTCACACACAAAGATGTTCATTTGCCACTAATTACCCCTTTCCTCTCTCCCTCCCTCTCACCATCCATCTCTCTCTCTTTCCACCCACGCTCTATCCCCTCCTCCTCACTCTCACTCCCCCATCCTCCCCCCCTTCCCCCCCACCCCATCCGCATTCTCCCCTCCCAGCCTCTGGGCCTGACTGGAGATAGCTGTCGGAATCCTGGCTGGAAATTCCAGAATTTTCTCCATGTTACTCTGCAGTCGGAAGCCAACGGCTGGGACTAATGCTCAGTAACTGTAAACAGCTGTGTGTCTGGCTGGGCTGGGGCGGGGGCGGGGGCTGGGGCGGGGGCCGGGGCCGGGGGCGGGGCCGGGGGATGGGGCCGGGGGCTGGGGCTGGGCTGGGGCCGGGGCCAGGGGCGGGGCCGGGGGATGGGGCCGGGGGCTGGGGCCGGGAGCTGGGGCTGGGGCGGGGCTGGGGCTGGGACTCGCTGCGACGCAGGATATGAGCCCGAGCCTCAGGCCTTTCCGACTCGAAGTGACCGAAAGGGCTGTTGCTCAGCCAACACCTCCATCCAGTCACACGCATAACGTGTGCGGACACCAGGAAGTATTTCTTTACACAGCAACTGGGGAATCAGCGGCTGGGCCTGAAGCCAGGCCTCGTTTAACGATCAGTTTAATGTAATAACAACAACAATAATAATAATAATCATTGCTCTTGACACAGAGTGTTATCACGCCTTTGAGACGTCTCAAAGCGCTTCACAGAATATACTGTAAAGTGTAGTGACTGTATAGTTTGTGGGCGAAACCCGCCAGTCAATTGCAGACAAACAGTCATGGATTGAGGGATCACAATTTTTTTTTAGTTACATTTGTTTTTAAAAGGGATTATTACCCCCAGAAAAGTAATGGGAAGAAAATGGAGTGGGGGTAACAGGAATATCTGGTTCTGTAGGTTTAAATGTTGAAGATCCCATGGCACTATTCAAAAAGAGAAGGGAGTTTTTCTCTCTCCCGGTGTCCTGGCCAACAATCCCCCAAATAAAACATGTCCCTAACCCTAACCCCAAATGTTTAACAGGACATTGCTGAAGGCAAAATCAGCGCACAAAATACACAGCCGCTCCACTTTACAGTCAATCCAGTGAAGCTTTGAGACGTCCTCCTGACGTGAAAGGCGCTGTATAAAATCATAGAATCATAGAATATTAAAGCCCAGACAGAGGCCATTCGGCCCATTGTGCCTCTGGAAGAGTTACCCGATCAGTCCCGCAACCCCACTCTTGCCCCAAATCCTTGCAAATTTGTTCTCTGCAAGTAACAACCAATTCCCTTATGAAACGCGGGGATTGCTACTGTTATTAGTAATCTCTCTCTCTCTCCCTCTCCCCCCTCCCCTCTCTCTCTCTCGGAGCATTTCGAGCTCCCGTCCCATTCCCCCCGGAGTGGTTCAGGCCTGGCTCAGTCAGTAGCTGTTTGTTCGTGGCTGAGCTTCCTTCCCACTGGGTCTCGCACAGAATGCAATTCTCCGGGAAATATCGGAAAGGCTGTGCTGGTTTTATATAAGCTCCTGTTTCATGTAGTTTCTCTCCCCATTTCCCCTCCCACTCCCCCCCCCCCACCACCCCAAACCCCCACTGACTCCCAGCTCCTCCCCTTTCCTGAAAGCCTCCGAAATCCGCTCCAGGCTGGGATCAAAGCCCGGAATTCCACCCAGTCTCGGCCCGAGGGACCTTTGTGGCCTAAAATGTTAAGGTGGAGCAGAACTGTGGACGATTCTCCAATCCAGACTGGATTCGCAATTCTTTTCTTTGAGAACTTCGGAAAACCGGCTTCCAGGTTACAGCTGTGAAGGATTTGTCACAATTCTGGTCCACCTTAAGGCAGAGCAGTCCCACAGGGCAATACTTATGATAATAATAATCCTTTCATTTGATATAGTGCTATCACATCTTCGAGACGTCTCAAAACGCTTCACAGGACATACTCTAAAGTGGATTGACTGTATATCTTGTGGGCAAAGCACGGCAGCCAATTGCGCACAGCAGCGTCCCACAAACAGGCGTGGATTGAAGTGACCAAATTATTATTTCAAAACATTTTTTATTGTTATTAGCCCCGGAAAGCGTCTCGGGTTCCTACTGACTGCTGATAAACAGAGGCGTGTGTGTGGAGTAAGGAAAGTTGCCCAATGTTTCATCCTGTCAGAAATCAAACCCAGGTCCTCTCGCTTGCGAGGCGAGCGCTCTGACCACTGAGCTACAGGACTCTGATTCCCTCTCTCCCCGCCCCCCACCCCCCCCCCACACACCTCCCCACGGTCCGTTCTCATGGCTCTCGCTCCCGGGAGACCCTGGGAAGTGACGTGGAGTCAGACCCCGGGAGAGATTACAACAAACTGCGTGGGAACCTGCAGCCGAGCTGTTTGCCGGCTCGGAATCCCGGCCTTCATTCCGACCCCTCCCGGAGCTCCCCTCCCCACATATAGCCTGGTGCCAGCTGTGCCAAGCGTGGTACAGGGCATGGAGGCACTGACAGGCAGCAGATGCAGTAACAACCACAACAACTTGCGTTTATAAGGCACCCTTCACATGGGGATAGCGCCCTGGAGCGCCTCATGGTGGCGGAGTCTGACAACAAAGTTAACAAAGTGCCCGTGAAGGGGGCGAGAG